AAGGTCCGCGGCCGCAGCGCTACGCCCTCCGCGGGGCGTGGGGGCGGGTCAGCTGGTCGCGCCCGGGTCAGCTGACTGGTCGCGCACTCCGCGGTGCTGTACTACGGCTCAGCCTCGGCGGACGGATGTAGGCTCATACTCGACGGCTCGTTATCGTTAGTCCAGTTGGGCGGAAAGTCCCTCCCGCGCGGTCCCTTGTCGGGGTCCTGCCCCTCAGGGGAGGGGACATCCCCGCGTGGGTGCCCGTCGGCCGCCACCCGGGACAACCCCAGCCCCGTGCCCCAGAACTTTCCCACGGCACGCCTTTGGCCTAGGCCGCCCAGGTACTTCCCCCCAAGCCCATAGCGGCGGACAGAATAAAATTCGCCCGACAGAATAAAATTCGCCCGAAAATCGCCCGGTGAGACCAAAAATCGCCCGGCGGGCGCAAAATCGCCCGATCTGGCAGCTCAGGTGGGAGTGGTAGGACAGGCGGCGCCGCGACTCGCCTGTCGGAGACGCGCGGGGTAGCCAAGTTTTTAAACAAATGCGCGGCTGGTCCCGTCTTGCGAAATAAGTGCGAACGGGTGGAGCGCTGTGGCCTATATGCCCCACGGACTGCAGCCGTTTCTGTAGGTCCGTCGGAATGGCTTTATGAAGTTCAGTCGTTGTTTGGCCAATATTCCGTTGACGGCGGCGGGGCGCGAATCCGACCCGGGGAAGTGTGCGATGCACAAGTGGGCACAAAGAAGTAAAACATGAAAGGGTATCAGCACGATGATATAGTTTATTCTCCATCTAATCAATATGACTGAGAACAAAGATAAATAGTACATAAGAAACAACGAGAACCAAGCGTATAACTGTAGCACATATGTATAAATCCACGTACACGAGACGTGAAAGCGGTCGGAGGGCCTTTGCCAGTCGGTGTTGGCAGTAAGACATCTTGGGGAAATAAAACCCCAAAGGAGCCCAAGAAGAGGAGGAAAAAGTACAAGTGGGTGAAAAGTCTAGAACACAAGGTGGTTTTAAAACATTGAATCAAACAATAACTTCTTACTTATGTTGAAAAAAAATTTCGCACAAAACAACACGAAAGATCATCTTTTTACAGTGTCTTACAGAATAAAGTTCGGAACATCCACAATTAAGCATAATTGTATTACATATGAATCCACGTGCACTTGAGTGACCCTCCCCGGTTCCACTGGTTGCCATTGTTAGAATGATCAGTGTGTACGTCCGGTGAGGGACACTTATCTTGGTCATGTGCGAAAAGGCCTATCTTCCTAATCCCTCCCTCACGCCAATTGACTTGTTGGTGACAGCCCGCTACACATGCCCCGCAGTTTTGGAGCACGCAAATGGGACCATATCCGAGCAGAATATGGAGCGAGGTGTTCGCGGCGAGGGTCGCCTTGACCGCGGCCCTGTGTATCCAGGGGTGGGGGCATCGCCCCCAGCACCCAAACTCCATCGTCCTCAAGGCCGGGGCCGTGGCGGGGGTGATGCTCAGGAGCAGCTTGTCGTCATCGGGCGTAACTTCAGAAAAGTCCAGGTGGCGCAGGGCAGGCAGTGCGGGCAGCGCACGGACCAGCGTCCCCGTTACGTCCTCGTGGCAACGCAAGTACAGTCGCTCCAGCTGGGACCGCCCGGACGAGGCCAGGGCCTCGACCAGCACCGCGGTCTCGTCGGGCTCACCGTATGGCAGGCAGACACTCCGAAGTTGGTTGGCGCGACGAAAGAATTTCGCGGCCGCCTGGAGTACGACGTTCGATTCCCCCAGATAAATGCTGATGTCTCTGAGCGTCCTGCACGCCGCCACGGCCTCCAAGTCTGCCATCGAGGCGTTGCACCGCAGACTTTTGAGTCTCGGCAAGGCGGCCAACAGGGCAGTCGTTGTCGTGTCCTCGATGGAAAATCCTGAGCTTAAGTCAACCTTCTCCAGCGTAGCCGCATGCGCAGTCAGAATGGTGTGTACAAAGAATGGCGAATACTCGTAGACCTCATATTGGAAATTCTTGAGCGAAGACCTCGGTGGCCCTTGTAGAACGGGGGGTGAGGTTCTTGGTAGTTGCCCAAAGACTCCGAGCGACTCCAGGTCGGAACACGACACAACCGTCCTCAGCAGCACGTCGTTTGTAGTCTTCAATCCGACGTCCGAACAATAAAGCTCAAGGCTCCTGAGGCGGCCGTAGGACTCCTGGAGGCGCACGGCCGAGGCGTACCCCGCAGCGTTAAAGGTATCGTAGGGCCGAAGAATCAAATGTGCTACGGAGCACCTGGTCGTGGTCGGAACATCGTCCGTGAGGGTCAGCGTGTCGAGGCACGGGGCCAGGCGCAGCACCACGCCCGCGCAGCTGTCGTCGTCGTCGAAGGACCGGTGGCGCCAGATGTCGCGGTCCAGGGCCAGGCCGCAGAGCCTCTTGCACACGAGGCGGCAGGCGAGGACGTCCTCCACGTCCAGATACTGCATCACCATCACGAGCACGTCGTCCGGGAGCTGCTGCAGGTTCAGCACAGACGTCTCCACAGGATCCATGGTAGAGCGTAAACTGCGGACTAGAAACACCGCGGGACCTTGCGTTAAACTAAACCACACGAAACACTACTCCTGTGTATGCACGGTAGACTGGCCTACATTGGCGGTTGCAGTAAGCTGGGATGATGACCTGACGCGTCCGTGACCTGGAGAACCTGGAGCTGATGACCTGGCTAAAACCAGTGAACCAGTGTGCGCTGCGGAGTGTAGAGTGCGACTGGGAGCTTCGAGACGAGCGGCGAGCTGGCCTGGGACTGGACCCCGAGCGAGCAGAGGCGACAGGCGACAGCGGCAGGCGGCCGAGGCACCGGCTGGGCTCCGGCTTCGCGTCGTGCAGCCGGCTAGGTCTTGTGGTGAAGTTGGGTTACAGTGCGCCATGGGTTGCCTACTTACAGGGGTTTGGTGGCACAAATTGGCTGCGTATGTATCTTTCAGGCGGCTCACCAGAGCTGATTTGGGGGGCGATCGCCCCCCTTAAACCGCGCCTGGGATTCCCTGGGATTAAATACGGAATTAAAATCGTGACAAGCGCCGGCAGCCCAGTGTCCCCGCCGTACTGTATCTCTCTTCACCGTGGACTAGAATGTAGCATTGCAGATTTAAATTAACACAGACACCCCCAAATAATTATTATTCGGTAGAGTCGGTTTCTCTCCGCGCAGTAGAGGCGCGCCCTCGTGCCCATGCCCCTCGCTACGCAGTCAGTGTTATATCAGTACGCAATGCAGAGGGGCGGGTTGAGCCCCCCCCCCCCTCCCAGGGGAGGACCTGCGGTCACTACCGACTGTATTCCCAGCAGCCACAACGAGCCACCCCTCCCCTCCCCGTCTCTGTCCAGC